TTATAAATCTCATTATTTAGACATATGATAATAGTTGCTCAGTGTGTTAATAAATGCTAAGTTAAGTCAGGTAGTTATATAAAACATTTAGTAGTTGTCAGTCGTCTATTTTTGTGAACTCCTCTAAAGTGAGGACTATTTATGCATTGTAAAGCATTTACACTTGATAAAAAAAAGAAAAATAAACCTCTGCAATATTATAGCTATATTTATAAACTGCTTACTAATGCCTATTAACGTTGGGACAATGCTTTATAAAGGATGAACTGACTATTTAGTAATGCTTAACTAATGATTCACAGCATGCCGTTATTATAAAGTGTTACCAAAAGTTGTACTTTATAATATTGTTTAACCAACAATATAGTTATCACAAAAAAAATGTGTAGGTAAACATGCAGGTGATAAGCTTCTGTTATTCATACAAGGGAAGTTATTTATTTTGCCAAACTAAAGGTAAAAGATTATCATTGCTAAGTCTTCTGAAGTCACTTGTTTGAGTTTTTATTCACTGATAACTTCATTGTGCCACAGTGCTCAGATCTCATCTGTGGCCATGTTTGTTAAACGCTTCACAACTCAATCAGTCACGTGACACACAAGTAACATGGGGTTTGGCTTTAGTGACATCAAATCTGGTGGGCACATTTAACATTTGTGAGCCTGGCGCACAAAAGCGGTCTTAAGTCGCTGGGGTATATTTGTAGCAATAGCCAAAAATACATTGTATGGGTCAAAATTACAGATTTTTATTTTATGCCAAAAATCATTAGGATATTAAGTAAAGATCATGTTCCATGAAGACATTTTGTAAATTTCCTACCGTAAATATATCAACACTTAATTTATGATTAGTAATATGCATTGCTAAGAACTTCATTTGGACAACTTCATAGTATCTCAGCCAAATATTGTCCTATTCTAACAAACCATACATAAATGAAAAGCTTATTTATTCAGCTTTTAGGTGGTGTATAAATCTCAATTTCTTAAAATTGACCCTTATGACTGGTTTTGTGGTCCAGGGTCACATTTGGCATCTAATGCTATGCACGTTCCTTGTTTTTCTGAGCACAGACATTCTGACGTCTCATTTTGAGATTCAAAAAATACTGTAAATAATACAGGGATCAAATGACATGAAGATGCTGAACTCCTTTAAATCAAGTTTAGAAATGATTTATGACTCCGGGAAGCAGCAGGCTTGTATGTGGATATTGAAGTAAAAGTTAACGCTTCAGAGAAATTCAAAGATGGTATTGGCTCTTGGGATATTGTTTTGTGCAAGCATGTGTTGGGAATAGGATATGCAGATCTGCAGTCTTCAGGAAGAATTTCTTTCTGAGACGGAGAGAAACGGAATAATAAAGGTTCTGCCCCTGAGTAATGATTAGTGAATAATACAGAAACCATTTTTTTAATATTAAACTAATTTCCCATATTCCCAAAATGATTCATTAAAAGCACATTTGTAAAGAAATAATGGGACCACAGGTGTAATTAACAGGTAGTACATTCACCGTCAGTGCATTATACGCTCTGCTAAAGGTCAGCTTGTCAACGCTGCAGTTCTTTTCATTCTTATATATGTAAACCACAGCTACCTATGAAAGTCTGACAGGCCTGCCAGCTGCATAACAGCAGTGCAGAGTGATTCCTATTAATCATAGAAAAGCATTTTCAGAAACATTCTGGCTGCAAGCTCTATCCTAAAACCTCAGAGGCAAAAAGACGCTTTCTTATATCCAACGTCTAACACAGAGTCAAGTTTATCAATAACAATTGTTCAGTTTCATTTAATACTTGCTATTCAACCTATTTTCATTTTACTTGTATTGTGTATGCTGTTTTCATATTTTATATCATGTTAGCTTAGCAACACACTAACACCAAACACTCTTCTCTCATGTGCTGCACATGAGGAGCACTATTTGTACATAAGAGATCCAAATCAGCCATTGTCACTGCTCATGGAAAAATGCTTCCATAGCTTTAATGTGCTGTCATGCCATCATTATGAAATTAACATCATTACTGTATTACGATTTTATGGAAGAGCATAATATTTCCTCAAGGTAAACCAATTAACTATCTAAGTAACAGCATAATCAGTGTGATTTGGCAAATTTTTCTATTTGCTGTATATTCTCAGTATTGATCTTTCCTGCCATCTTCTGGCTAGAAAACATAATTGCAGCAGTCCACAAGTCTTTCCTGCTCCATCTTATACTTTGAGCTTTGAAAAATCACTACAAGATCTAATGTTTGATTCATTTACAATACATTACTATAATTATGTTGGTGTCATACAGTATTAAGTTGCTTGCAAAATATTTTATTAAGTCAGAACGCATTTTCTCCTCTGAATGACCTTCAAAAGAGAACAATAACGTTTGCCTGCAGAATGCATAAGCCTTTCATTTGTATGTTTTTATTTGATTTATTTTGTGTTTTATTTTATATTTCAAAAAGTGGCGCAGTGTTATTTGAATTCATCATGGTGATGGATGAAAACCAAAATCAAAGTTTTGCAATTTAATTAACAAGCTTCTCTGAATATGCAGAGTTCAATTGATTTTCATTTGGCATCTGTACATTTGTATCAATTCAACTCTTGTCGGTTTTCTTTCTGGTCACTGGCTTATGATTTTCTAATGATCACTTACAACATTTATCTTCAGCTCAATATCCACGCCAACTGCCCTTTTACATCTCCTAGAATAAAATGTGTTCGGCTTTAGCGTAGAAAATGGATTTAAGAAGTATGTACTTTTTATTGATATACATCTACACAACATTTATCTGATTTAGAGTGAGAGTTTATCAGTTGGTGTACACTTTGGTTTGATGTGCTAAACACAGGATAGTAGTCTTGGGGCCAAAAGGGGCTAGTAAACAAGGAAATCCTCTCTCTGAGACATGCAAAAGTCAGGCTGCAGGCTTTCAATCGTGCAGTCGGACGTGTCCATGGTGCACAGGCTGCAGTCGCAGCTGAGAGCCACAGGGTAAGTGATATGTGGGTCCACCCCTGGAGGACAGTCTGGCAAGCGGACGGTCTCGTAGCGCACGTCCCGGTAAGTGCACACGTGTTGGTAGACAGTGGAAAATGGGCTCTTGTATACAGGCTCCTAGAAATGCAAGATAATACACTGTCACCACCACTGGAAATAATGATGCTTGTATATGAATATGAATTCAAATTAATGTTGCTGAAAAATGTTTCCATGCAAATGAACAAGTAAAAAAAAGAAAAGAAAGTAAGCACCTTTGTCAGGCAGTGGCCACTGCAGATGGTGGTCTGAAACACCAGACATTTTGGACAGCCCTCCTTTTCCACAGCTACAGTCTCATTAACTGGCTCACAGGGTGGAAGAAAAGAGCGTTGAGCAGCTAGTAGGACAACTACAGAGAATAAGAGAAGGAGGATGTGGTTTCGAACAACTAAAATCCTGTAGATGGAAAGAAAGGAGAGCAATTTAATTTACTTTGAAGCCCCGTTGAAACAGTAAAAAGCAAAAGCAAAAAAAAAAAAAACTGAACAATATTACCGCATTAAATATGTATTAGACTTACTTGACAGGTGTCCCCATTGCTCAGCAGGCTGTTAAAAGTGGCTCTATGTGTTCAGTCACACGGCATCTGGGTAGATTTATATAGTGCAGTGAAACCAACAATTAAACTAAAATCTGACCTTAAATTAATCACACTGATCTCAAGAGGATTATGTGTTTCCATTCTCACGTAACAACTCTCTAAATTCATCAGGTCAGAATGAACAGATAAAAGACACCTGCTGTTCATTCAGTGCACATATATTATATACAGTAGATTATCTGATCTAAAATCATCTGCATGAAATCAAATTAGACTCCACTGAACAATATTACCGCATTAAATATGTATTAGACTTACTTGACAGGTGTCCCCATTGCTCAGCAGGCTGTTAAAAGTGGCTCTATGTGTTCAGTCACACGGCATCTGGGTAGATTTATATAGTGCAGTGAAACCAACAATTAAACTAAAATCTGACCTTAAATTAATCACACTGATCTCAAGAGGATTATGTGTTTCCATTCTCACGTAACAACTCTCTAAATTCATCAGGTCAGAATGAACAGATAAAAGACACCTGCTGTTCATTCAGTGCACATATATTATATACAGTAGATTATCTGATCTAAAATCATCTGCATGAAATCAAATTAGACTCCATGGCCTCTGTGTTAAACACATGTACAGCGTCAGGAAATAATCAAGGTCTAACGCTCTCAGGTTTCACTGCGAGTGAGTTCATTAGTGTTTGCAAGGCAGTGAACACCGAAACAAGGTGATATTGTGTTCTCTCAGTACTGTAGTATTATCTCCAGTGATTAGAAAAAAAAACTCCTCAAGGTATGACTCCTATAAAACAGTGTCATTTTACTATCATTGAGATACTATTATTGTGTAAATATATGGTTTATAATATTTTTGATTTCTATATATACAGTGGTGTGAAAAAGTGTTGGCCCCCTTCCTGATTTCTTATTTTTTTGCATGTTTGTGATATTATATATAATTTTATTTCAGTTTTAGTTGTAGTCATTTTAGTACATTAAGTTAACCTTAAAATGACAATTGTTGCCTTGGCAACTAGCTCAAATATAGTATACTACTACTACCAATAATAATAATAATAATAGTAATAATAATTAACAATAATTATTATTGTTATCATTATTATATCAGTTAACGTTTATTTATTTTTTTTGTCTTAGTTTCAGTTTTAGTTCACTATAATACTAATCCACTAAATAGCAGTCTGACTCTTGACAACATTTAAAACAGGTTTAGCTTTTAGGTTTTGATTCTGGGTAAATGCGTGCTTCATCTATCAAAAACTTTGACCATATTATTTTAGTGCCATGACATATGAGAAAAGTGCGTAAACTTATCTAATTTTAACACTAGCAGGCCTATTTTATTTTTGCCGATTTAGCTGCTAACGTTACACTTCTGGGTCCCGGAACCAACAATCATCCGCTAATGTGTGCCGCCAGGAAGAATATATCGGCGCACCAAAGAACGTATAGGGTTAACATTTCACAAAGAACAGACTTGTTTGCATGATTGTGTTGAAAAGTAATCTCGAAAATGAGCGAGGAGGGCGGTAAGAGCCAGGTGGGTGTTATTTTATTCAAGAATTTTAGTCAGATATTACGCTGGGGTAAAGTTCATAAGAGAAGGTCATGTAATACGCTGACCACAGTTATTGTTACCTAATGGATACAAGACATTAAGAGTCATCATGTTACATTATTAAAGTTGTTTTCATCTGATTTTATAGCAAACAAATGTACTATGGTATTACCATGTTTCACATCGTACCATGGTATTACCCTTACGAAAATTAACCATGGTTTTACTACAAATAAAACCAAAAAGACACGGTTACTATAGTTAAGCCATTGTAATCACAAATTAACTATGGTTTTGCAACACTAACCATAGTTAAACCATGGTATTTGTAGTAAAACTGTGGTTATACAAATGGTAGTCAATACGCCAAAAAAAACCATGGTTACTACAATTTTACTATTATAAAACCATGGTTAATTTTCGTAATCTGACACCGTCACATGGTACTGCCACATTACATCGTTATAATGGTTATAAGCTCCATTATTGTTTCTGCAGATACTCGCATGAGCATTAAGTGTAAGTACTGGTTTCATTTCAGGATGTCATGTTAGTTAGTAAGTGGTAATGATACACATTACAGGTTTTGTAATCAGTGAACTTTTTATTCAAATGAATGAACAAATTCCATCTTAACACGCACAGGGCATGAAGGTCATGGGTATCAATGATATCCAGAATACGCCTTGTGCTCGAGAATCTATTCTTCATGGTGCAGGTGGTTCACTGGTGGCAGGATTAGTGCACTTTTTGGCAACAAGTAAGTGAGTGATTGAATTGACGACTTGTATGATCATATGTCACATATTTCTTTAGTGTAAGAGTTTTTTCTGCTGTCATCTTGTCATTCACAGGTAGAGTAAAGAGGTCGTTTGATGTGGGTGTCGCAGGATTCATGCTTACAACACTGGGCTCATGGTATGTGCTTCAAAAACAGTGTTGACATGCTCTCACATGCTGCTGCTGTCATTATACGGTATTTCCCGAATATAAGACGACCCCCCTTTTTCCAGATGTGCCTTTTGGAAAAAGGCTTTTTAAAAAACAAATCTTGTTTTTTCTCAGTAAAACACATTTTGTCTTCAATTATTTTCATATTCATATTTTTCCTATTTTAATTTTTGTTTTGAAAGCATGGTAAAAACTGGTAAAAATGTACCAACAATCACATTTAAAAAATATACACTTTTTGATATACCATTAAAAAAACAAAACAGGTAGCCCCTCTGAATTAGGACATTTAGGCTATCCATCTAAGAGTAGCCCACCAAAATCTTATTAACAGCAGAAGTTAAATCTTACTGTAGTCTTCAAATCTGGGTACTGTCTTACGTTTTAAAATCACAAAGGGAGTTTGGTCCCATCAGGCTAACGTGACAGTCACGACTCATGCAGCTGTAAGGTTTTCTTTCTCTTTTGTTTTTTCTCGCGATCTTTACAACACACATTACATTTACGTATTTCATGGCACACTCGTTTTATGCGTATTTGGCGCCACCTATTGTCGTGGGTGTATTATTGACATGTCAAAGTCTAGACCCTGAATATAAGACGACCGCGTTTTTTCAGATGTATTTCCAAGAAAAAAACATCGTCTTATAGTCGGGTCAATACGGTAATTATATTCTCAATTCTGTAATTTAACAGAAGAGTTTTTTAATTTACAGTATGAAGTATAATATATATTTTTTTAAATCAGTGTAAATAAAACAGCACAACAAATACTACCATGATTTATTAATAATAGAATGGGGGAAATTATGATTAATTGTCATGGAAATCCTTTTAAAATGATAAAAAATGCAATAAATGTTAATCTGACACATTATCTGATGCTTTTTTTATACAGGTTTTACTGCAGATATAATAATGCCAAGCTGCGTGTTCAGCAGAGAATGATTCAGGATGGCATAAAAAATAAAGTCATTTATGAAGGCACAAATTTAGACCCCACACAGAAGAAGAGCGGGGATCAGTAAAAGTTGCTTGTCTGAGACCATATTAATGCCTTTAATGAGAATGATGATTTATTTATTGTATAATTAAATGTATTGAATGTTTGTAATAAAATTGATTTTTTTTTTTAAATAAAGCAGATGCATTTTAAATGTGATCTTGTGAATATGCTGTAGGAGGAATGCACAGCAGTACTTGCTGACATTGAAAAGTATTATTTCCTGAGCTCTAATCTTACAGGGGTTTTTTTTTTCCAGCTGCTTACATAAAAAAAACTTTACTTGTCACACAATTTGTGAAACCTGACACTCAAATAATAAAGCAGATGCATTTTAAATGTGATCTTGTGAATATGCTGTAGGAGGAATGCACAGCAGTACTTGCTGACATTGAAAAGTATTATTTCCTGAGCTCTAATCTTACAGGGTTTTTTTTTCCAGCTGCTTACATAAAAAAAACTTTACTTGTCACACAATTTGTGAAACCTGACACTCAAACACCAGAAGCACACACCAAATCTGTAAAATCATATGCTAATTCTCAGCCTTTAACTCCGTTTTCAATTTCATGAAACACTTTTTTGCAAGACAACACACAATTCTCTGTGTAACACAAAAATCTACCAGGAAGTATCTTTATTTTCCTTCTTTTTTTTTTAAACACAACCAATCAAAATGGCACACTAATTAATCAGCGTCTCACATGTGCTTCACTGAACACCAACCAATCATGGCTTTAGAACAGGCCTATAAATACACATCTACACAACTATACTTGGTTGATGTATTTCTTTTCTTTTGTACTGTGTAATACCGTATTCACAACCACAAATGATTACAGTTTGGTTTCAATCTTGCTGTTGTGTTTACCGTGAATTTTTCAGCATCTCTCTGCCAATTACTTTCAATCTTGTACAGAAATGTACATGAGCTTTAGGTTTTGAATAACTGTGTGTGTATATGATGTATACAAAATATATTATTTTGAGATGTGTTTCTGGTATTTTAAATGCAGTGCTTCATTTTGCAAGAGATGTGAAGCATTTTGTGTGCAATTCTTGGATTTGTGTGTAAAGTTTTGAAAAAAAAAGAGGAAAAGTTTTGAAAATGTGTGTAAGCAGTTGAAAAAAAAAACTGTTAGGTTAAGATACAAATTAAAAAGAGCACTGAATAAAATCAATATCCTTTTTCCTGCTTTGTTAGCATGTTTCAATGGTGTCATTCAGTTCCAGAGTTTAAACATGTCGCTTTACGTGTGCTACAGGAATATATATTAAAATCATCGCACCCGTGATTTCAAGATGTTCACCCGATAGGAGGTACTGAAGCAAGCTTTGGTTAGGGGCCACTTGAAAATGTTTTGTTTGAGCCTACAAAAAATGAGAAGTATTTAAAGAAATATACAGTAGCAATAGCATAATCATACTTTACAAGCTAAGAATTTACTAAGTTTGTTTGGTACAAATGACAAAATAGATATTTGTATTCAAAAAGAAGAAAAAGTAGTGTGACATTTTCTGGTAGTTGATCAAATGAACTGCTTAACTTCATTAAGTCAGTGACTTTGAAGATAGCTTCAAAGTCACTGCAAAACAATAGTTTTCAAAAAATCTCAAGCAAGTGTGACAAGTTAATACAAATAATTTTAGGGGGCCAGTCTGCATCGTTTCTTCTCTTCTTCATACTTTATTTCTTAGTATGTGCTTTTTATTTAGCGTGTCTGTCTATACACTAATTACAGAGAGTTCTTTTCAAGAAATATGAGTTTGCTTAAGTGTAAAACAGTAACCAGGAACTTTTGGAATATCAGTTGCTCTCCAATATACACCCACAACACTTGGTACAGCGAAGGTAACCCTGTAAAAACCCTTTTTTAGCTTTAAAAAAAATCAAAAATTGTTTTTTCATTAAAGATGAAATTTACCCATTGACTTATATACCAATCTATCTGCATGATCAATTGTGAATGGTCTTGCCTTCCTCGGCTCACATGGTCAGGGCCTCACAGTTTGACCTGGCAAATTTACATTTACCGTCTGTGATCAAAACAGCTTCAAAGTTGAAATTTTACATGTGGTTAAAAAAATTTTTTTTTACCCAAGTAATGCCTATAATATGATATACAAAGATGAAGGAATTTATCCCGTCTTGTTCAGAGAATCACTACAAACACTCATAAGCATTAGAAATTAACAACATGTAATTCAAATTTTATTTCACTTTGCTTGCAGGTGAATTTAATAATAAAACAAAACACATGATGTGGCATATTTGCTGATATTAAAGGCGTGGTTGACTGTTTTTTTTCTAGACTTGATTGTGTTTATGGGGTGCAGTCTAACGTGTTAATGCTTCGTTTAAAAAAAAAAAAACATTATTTTTCACATAATTTACCTTTATTCCACACGGCTCTGTCCCTTCTCCTATAAACACGCTGATCATTTCCTGCTTTTATGAAGCCCCTCCCTCAGAAATAGGCAATGGGCTCTGATTGGTTAGCTAGCCCAGTGTGTTGTGATTGGCTAAACCGCCTCTAATGTGCATCTAAACGTTCCGCCCCTCACCTCAGCGGCATGTGCTCCGGTTGTATTGTAAACAACGGCGTCATTAATATTGCTTATCAATTTGAGCCCAGAGGATATTACTGAAGATGATCGCGCAGAACCTGTGCAAGCACGGCTCTTAATGGTTATTTGTAAATGCTACTGCTTCTGTTAGCTTTTAATATACGGTTTTATCCTGATTAGTTTTAATACAGTACGGCAACCACACACGCGTGTATAACGCTTCTCATAGCTATGTGAAAATAAGTGTATAAATGGAACAGTTCGTTGTTTGAGCTGAGCTGATGATCTGAATGAGAGATAAGGGAGAGAGAAAGAAATGCAGAGCTTGTGAAGAGACATTGATTTGGAAACTTTTGAATCCATTAGAATCGTTAGGAGACAGAATCGTGATTCATATATGAACAGATTTTTATGTGCACCCCTAGTTTTCTTCCTCTTCTCTAAAGCATGGCCCCGCTCCCTTTGTTACATGTTCCGTGGGCGGGGGTTGTGATGTCACAAACCCGGGAAGTAACTCGCTGTAGTCCCTACGAGCCGTTTTTGTAGGCATTAAACTGCCAGAATTTTAAAAGAAGATATCTTAGTTTGCAATGAACTTTCAGCGCCACAACTTTGCAGATATAGTTAATGCTCAAACAGCAACATTACACACTAACTAACATTAAAAAAAGTGAAATCGCAGTCAACCACCCCTTTAACTATCACTGCTAACTACTAACTTACACTTTTGGGAGGAAAAAAGCTCCATTCCTGATGGAAACGTACATTAAATTTGTGTTACCATAAAGAAAACTGAGATATAAGCAGTGCGCAACTGTAAAAACGTTGCATAGCTATTAAAAGCATTTAACATGTAGGACAAACAAGACTATATTGTATTTTCTATGTGAATACACACTTTATTATAGATATATAATACTACTAGAGTTCAAAACTACTGCATTATGGTAAAATTAATAAAAATGTGAATCATTTTGTAGCCGTTTCATGACTTTTTTGACATTTTTACAGTTTCATAGATTATAGAGATTAAAAAACAAGTTCCCTTACAAACACTGGTGTGCTGGTACCCTGATGGTATTAGATGATATGAATGATAGCCATATTCATGCACTACACCGGGTACTTCAATGAAAACAATTGTGCTACTACCGTAGTATCATGTACAGTACTTTTTGTTAGTGTTGATACGTTATGTGGATCAGTAATACACATTTTACATTGGAGGGCATGAATCCTCACTCTTGATCAGTGGAGGTCTCTGTGTGTAATTGCACAATCTCCACATCATTATGTGAGCTGGAGGTGCTTGCAGCACGGGCTATCTTTGTGAGGGTTTTCTCGTATGGAGCCGGCAGATAAACCATCAGAAAAACCCCATCATTCCCGTCTTCAGTGCCATCTCCTTCCTCCAAAGTGGACAGAAATTCAGCAGTGCCATCAGCGTCGTCAAAATCCAGAGTTATGACTTTGGCTGTGTTCTCCTTCGCCCGGAAACATCTTTTGAAAACAAAGAAGGCAATTCCAGCGAGGACGAGCAGGGAGCCCGTTACTATGACAACATACAGCGTAGCCTCCGGTCTCTCTTCGACCTTGTTTGAAGCCAGCTCGTTCCAGTAGCCCTGACAACACATCCGAATAGAAACTTAAGAAATGACATGATGATCACAAGGTCTGTTCCTTAAAGTCACCATGCAATCAAAACTGACAATTACAATTTTTTATAGATGAATGCAGTGTTTATATAAATGATTTATTGATTGTGCCCTCATAATCTTTCATCAAAATAACTTCCTAGCAAACGACAAATATCCAAACAATTACTGATGGCCTGCCCTTCATTTTTCTTCGAGAAGCCATGGATGTACATCACAGAGAAGAAAAGGCTATCACAACTCATGTCGATTTAAGCATTTTAGTAAAAAGGAAGACGATGACACAGGCTGGGTCCAAAATAGCATATGCTTTGAGCAGGTACTTGTTTTGAGTAAGTAATTACTTTGCAACCATTAAAAATGTATGTTCTGTCTATGGAGTAGGCCTTATGGGATAGTAAAGTTTTAATCGGATGCACACTTCAGAATCTCACCGGAAGTAGTAGGTCATCTGGGAACTTTTTGCCTACTGTTTTATGAATGCTGTGAATTCAGACATACTACTCATTTCACATTTCACATTCACACTGTTTCTTACCTATTATAGAGTAGGGAAGTATGCGATTTTAGATGCAGCCTTTGGCTGGCAGTTGTGCCAGAGAGGGACTTGTTCAGAGAACGCTTGTCATATATTGCAACTGTTCAGTATTTTCAACCACATGGTGTTTATTTTATGTTTTAAACATTTAAATACACAACACTATGGGCAATAGAGTAAAAGTAAACATGAACAAACACATTATGTAGGTAACTATAAAACCACTTTCATATATTTTGGGGGGAATGGATGAATTTGTAAAACAGGCCACATAGTCCAGATGACTTAGCAATCGACAAGATCATTATCAAATTTAAAACACAAAATACATTTGCTTCCATAAATAGGATAATCTAATTATCAGATATTTTACAATCTAGTTTAAAAATGTTTAGAATACTAAGAAAGATTTAAGCCGTATATTACGTAAAGTATATTACCTAAAGTACTGCACAGATGACATATATACTGTGTGTATATACAGTGGGTACAGAAAGTATTCAGACCCCCTTAAATTTTTCACTCTTTGTTATATTGCAGCC